TAAAGGTTTCAGGCTGAGCAGGACGAAGACGGAATACCTCGAGTGCAACTTTGGGGCCGAGCCAATGGAAGCAGGAGTGGAAGTGAGGCTCAACTCACAAGTTATCCCTAAGAGGGGTAGTTTCAAGTACCTTGGGTCAGTTATTCAGGGGACCGGGGAGATCGACGAGGATGTCACACATCGTATAGGGGTAGGGTGGATGAAGTGGAGGTTAGCAACATGAGTCTTGTGTGACAAGAAAGTGTCACCGTTACTAAAAGGTAAGTTTTACAGAGCAGTGGTTAGGCCTGCTATGTTGTATGAGACCGAGTGTTGGCCGGTTAAAAATTCACACATGCAGAAGATGAAAATAGCAAAAATGAGGATGCTGAGGTGGATGTGCGAGCATATAAGGATGGACAAGATTAGGAATGAAGTTATTCGAGATAAGGTGGGTGTGGCCCCCATGGAGGACAAGATGCGGGAAGCAAGACTCAGATGGTTTGGACACATTCAGAGGAGGAGCACTGATGCGCCAGTGAGGAGGTGTGAGCGACTGACTGTGGTGGGCATGAGGAGAGGTAGAGGGAGACCTAAGAAGTATCGGGGGAGGTGATTAGGCAGGACCTAGCACGACTTAGGATTTCTGAGGACATGGCCCTTGACAGGGAATTGTGGAGGTCAAGCATTAAGGGTGTAGATTAGGGGGAAGTCTGTGAGTATTACTACAATGCACTGGAGTAACACTAACCATTTAGGAGTTAGTCTTAGGATATCACTGATCGGTAACGGATGCAGGGTTGTGTAGGTTGGATATTAGTATACCTCACACCCTTTTCTCCATCCTTTTCGTATTTCCTATATTTCTTATATTGTTGTTATTCTGGTATTTTATATTATGTAGTTTATGTTATTTATTATGACTCTATTGATAGTACTAATATATTGTCTCTTGTTGCTCTCTTGAGCCGAGGGTCTCCTGGAAACAGCCTCTCTGCCCCTCGGGGTAGGGGTAAGGTCTGCGTACATACTACCCTCCCCAGACCCCACTGGTGGGATTATACTGGGATGTTGTTGTTGTTGTTGTTGTAGTGATTAAAATTTTCCTTTTCGCTTGTCGGGTTATGTCGTGTCCAAATTGGAGAAATTTGAGTTCGATATTAAAGTCACGAGATAATTTTTCTTCATTTCATTTTTTTGGGTGGTAGAATTGTGATAGATATAAATCGACTATTTGTGCCTCTTTTGGTGCTGGCCATGAGCCAAACAAATATGAGTGATTTAGAAAGAGCACAAATCTTAGTGTGCGATTTCTGTTTGACATCACCATTTGATTTTCATATAAAGGTAAATTTAGGGAAAATAAAAGCTGCAACGTTGTATCGACAAGTCGTTAAAATTGGTGATAAGACTTTTATAGTCATGTGTAGTAGAATTAACGTTTGAATTCGGATGATTTTCAAATATTCATGCATTCAACTTGATTCTATTTTTTATTGTTTGGACTATCGTTGCCTTGGTATTCTTATCCATTCAGTAAAAGCAAATCACAATTTATCCTTTGATCAAGCTTTTCAATTCAGCAATATATGCTAGATCTTTTTGTGTCATATGTTTTACTGCAAAATATTAGAAAATGGAAGTGTTATGATAAGTAAATCGATAACTCTTTATAGTTCGAATACGATAGTCGTGATTGATAAAGGCTACTTGTACATGTTCTGAATAATGAACTGTTTGCTACATATTTCCATTGAAGGAGTTCTGGTGTATGTTCTGCATATGAAATTGCACAATTGTATCATTATATTTCTTGCTCAAACGCACTGGAACAATAGAGATTCATTTTGAATCAAGAAACGATAAGTGTTCCTGGAAAAGACAGGGTAAGAGTAATATCCCCAGTTGGTACTTATGAAGGCAAGCAAGTCAAGGTAAATAAATTCAATGCAGAATTTAGAAGGTAAACCTACTTGGCTCCACTTTGTCACAAGCATGTTGAAGGTCAGAAGTTCAGGGGAATCTTTCTCTTATATTTTTCCTTTTTTCTGGATTGTGTAGTATTTATAAGAATGAGACACAATCGAAGTCTAATAATAATAGTAATAGTGATAGCAGGTTTTAAGTCTATTACCAAAGTAGGAAGTGAAGGAATCAAGAACCAAATGGAGGACATTCAGGAGATAAAGGATGGGAGAGGAAGATGACAAATGAAGAGAGAATGTTGTGTATGTGGGTCCTGAATTCAGATCCCTTCTTCTGTACATTTTTATTATCTATTTGGCAGCATCTTTTATTTTTACTTTTTCTTTTTTGGTTTTGTCTTCCTTATTTTCTTTTATTGTGCTTTTTGGAATTAGCTTAAACTTGTTAATACTAAACCAATGTTATTTCTTGTGATCATATCTTCAGCGCTTGAGTGCTCATTCAAAGTAAGTTTTTGAACATTCTATGTGATTTTCAATTGGTTCGAATGTTGGATTGTGGTTTTCAATTAATTACCTTTTAATTACTCAATTACTAGCTCTTCTAAGAAATTTTGTGATCCAAAAACTAATGTCAATCAAGTTATGTAGAATTAATTGTTATATAGTTGATATGCTTAATTGCTTCTGGTGGATCAAACAGCCGGCGTTTCTTACAACAAATCATGGTGGAAATATAATGGGCAATGTCGCATTGTAAATGTCAAACTGCTTACGGTTAGCATGTATGCCTAATCATTTGTGAGCTGCAGAAAAGAATGCCATGTGCTACATAGCTCTTGCACTCCATATCATTCGAGAAAGAAAAACTTGATTGTTTTGGTAGTCATTCTCCATTCAGTGCATGTTCGGGTATAAAGAGTAAACAATCTCTACTTTTAATGTACCATTATCTGCTTACCTGAAAGCTCTACATTGTACTTCTCCTCTGTTTTTTCTTGGAGCACCTAATTGAGAGTACCAAATCTGACAAGTCAGATATCTACATGCCAGTGAATAGAAGTGAGAAAACTCCATTTAATTTATGCAGAGATGATATGTTTACTACATTACTTCAATTTGATTCCTTGCACAAGCTTAATGGTTATGTGAAAATTAACATGATTGCTTGATTAGCTTCTGATTGTCACATGAATATCATTTATATTAGGGGCTAAATTCTATTTCTAGCATATTTCTAACTTTTGCTAATTTACTGCTTTGAAAGGGATGGCTAAGGAGGATCCGGTGAAACCTGGTGAAACTCGTGATTGAAAACTAACTTTATGCAAATGACCTACTCATATATTCTAATCATGTTGGTTGCTGAATTGATTATGCTTTGAGCTCCCTCTAAATTACTTTCTTGAATTTACATATAAAGTTTAAACGAAAAATTTAGCTGATTGCAAGATAAAGATAGCTTTAAATCCACTAATTTATTGTTGCTTACCTCATCATTAATTATTTAGAATAGTGTCCTATCGGTGTAACTTCTATTGTTGGAGGTATTCTACATATGACTTTATGTTGCCATTATTAAGAATAACATTTGACCTAATTTTATATTACCAATATGATCATGAAATAGAGGTAAATGGTAACTTCTATAATGTGAAGTATGATGAAGGAAGGTCTATTGAATTTTTCACTATTGTCGATGCCAGATAAATATTAAATGGAGATTTGGACGGTTATGGCTCTTGTTTGCCATATAATTTTATTCGTTCAATATCTTGGCTCTAGCTTCTTTCATTCATGATTTCTTTTCTGTTAACCTGAGTTTTAGCTGAGCATTTTCCTATTATTACTGATTTCTGCAACAGTCTCAAGCACATTTGAATTGGCACATTTACTGGTTTCTCCTCCGCATGTACTTTCCCTCTCTTTTTTACTGTTCCTATTTTATATTTATTTGGGGTCTTCTGAGTTAGATTTCATTACTGAATCTCTGTTTGTTTGGTGATTGAGCTACTAAGATTAGTTCTGTTCCAGTTTCATATTGGCACTGATGTGCCAGCAGACACCATTTTTGCTTTATTTTAACTTTCATATTTGTATATTTCCTATGCGCTAATTTCATTCGAGAAAGAAAGATTTGATCGAGTCGGTATTCATTCTCCATTGTGTGCAGGTTGGACATATAAAGAGCAACGAATCTCCACATTTGATGTGCCATCATCTGCTTGTCTAAAAGCACTACGTTGTACTTCTTTTTTTTTTTTTTTTTTTGAAGCACTTAATTGAGAACACTAAAACTGACATCTCAGAAGATAGGTACATGCCAAGGAATGCAAGTGAGAAGGTTATAAAAAAGGAATGCAAGTGAGAAAACATCATTTAATTTCTCTGAAGATGATGTTCACCACATTACTCAATTTGATTCCTTGCACAAACTTAACGTGATGTTAAAATCAACATGCTTTTTGCTTAGCATCTGATTATCACAGAAATATCAACATGCTCTTTCTAGCATATCTCTTACGTTCAGTGATTGGTGACTGTGCTAACTTCTTTTTGATTAATCTTTCTCCCTTCTCCGGGTAATGGACTTAACTTGATTGATAAAGCTGCTCATTGTTCTTGTTGTTTGCCCTTTTTATTAGTTTATACTTCTGCAGGAGACCTCTTGATTACTTAACATCTTTAGGGAACCATAGATTTACTAAAGTTGTAAACATTCTTCCATCTGCTCAACCAGTTCAAGGTTGTTAAGATTCTTAAAATGAAACAACAATAATTGAAATAGTATTAACACACAACTGAATTATTCTATTTGTCTGGTTTTATAATATTGTTGAGTTCTTGATGCTTATATGTCTGCATTAGACTGATTTGTTTCATTTATATTGCAGTTACTTATATATACTATTGATTTGTGATACAGGAATTGCTGCCTAGGAAGATTACTTTGTGGAAGTTAAAGGATATAAATTGCTTAATATAGGTGAAAAGTATAGCTTGAGTCAAAGTCGGGAATGCAGATTACTTGTATTCTCTCTGAAGAAATACTTCAGGCTAGAGGAGCATTCACTTAGAGCTAATTCTATACCTGTATGTTTCAGTGTTGATTGATTAGCTTGAAGATGTAATTCCTCCTGAAATAATGTGCCTGAGCAAGTGTGTGGCGAATGTCATTTTGCATGGCTATCCTCGGGGTGCAATTTGAAGAAGGAAGCAACTATCATTGTGCTTGTGAAATACCGATAAACCTATTTCACTATGTATTTGTGAAATCATAGCTATTGTATTAGGTATTTATTGTTATATATGTTGTCTATCGCCATTTGGCAGTTATTTACATGCATATATTTTTGTTATCTGCCATTCTTATCAAAACAAAATTAATAAAATATAGTATTATTTTCAGCTTTTATAATATTGGGCCCGTGCTGGCCCGGGCTAACACTATCTAGTGTTAATAATAAAGAATAGTAATACATAAATAAAACTCCTCTAAACTTGATTCAGTTTACAACTTTGTACAACTTAGATGTGCTATATAATATCCCACCCACCTATGTATTTGAGTAGATAGATAGAAGTATTCTTGCGTAGTTGTGATGCTGATTCATTCAAACCTGCATTAAGGCTACAATTTACTCATCATTTAATCAAATGAACTTACTATAAGATTTTGTGAAAATATTAGTAAGTTGTAAACGTAAATTTTAATTTCAATAACATTAATTGTTGTTAAGCAAAAATATAGATGTGTGCTAAAAGGGAATTACCATTGAGACTTCAAGCTATAATTTGATGAGCGTCTCGTCTTGTAATTGATTTGAGGATCTCAAAACCTCTTTAAAAATGGCGCCAATACTTATAATTACCACACTTATAACACTTGCTGCATTTCCTTTTTCGGCTTTTCAGTTCATTCATAAGTACAATGAACCTACAAATTTATAACATAAGTACAATGCAAAAGGAAAGAAAGAGAAGCAAAGAGAAGGGAATATTAAGGTAAAAAACAAAGTCATAACTTTGCAGAATACCTGTATAAATTTATTTTTTAGGGCATCTAAATTCAGTCTCACTAAGTCAATACATGCCTCCAAGCTTCAAGCTGATGACATCCAGCCTCTGCACAATCCCACTATATTTCGTCATTTAGTTGGAAAGCTAAACTATTTAACTAATATTAGACCTGTTCTTTCATTTGCTGTACTCACCCTCAGTCAATACATGCAGAAGCCTTGTGTTTCTCATTTTACTGCTGCTCTACGAGTACTCAAATACCTCAGCTCCAATCCCGGTCAAGGTATTCTTCTTTCAGCTGAACAATCTTTTTCTTCGCTGGTATTCTGTGATGCTGATTGGGCATCTTGCAAAGATTCAACAAAATCCGTCAGTGGTTTTTTCATAACTCTTGGAGGAGCTCCTATTTCATGGAAATCAAAGAAACAAGTATCAATTTCTTTGTCTTCAGCAGAAGCAGAATATAGATCTATGAGAAGGGTTACTGCAGAACTTACATGGTTAGTGTGTTTGCTTAAGGACCTCTCTGCCCCAATTACTTTGCCTACTCCTCTCCATTCTGATAGCAAACCAGCCATCCACATCGCTCGTAACCTCGTTTTTCACGAATGCACAAAACATGTTGAAATTGACTGTCATTGTGTGCGACAGTAGTTTCTCTCAGGCTTAATCACTCTTTCTTTTGTCCCATCTAAAGCTCAACTCGCAGATCTCTTCACAAAAACCTTATTTGGGGTTTCTCATCAGGAAATTTTGGGCAAGGTAGGGCTCACACAGTTCCCCTCTAACTTGAGGAGGGATGTTGGGAGGAAGAAACTTCATAACTCTACCTCTCATAGCTCCCATGGAGTTTCAACTACAATTGATGAAGAGAAAATGACGAAGAAGACGAAGACCTAAACCTAAAGAGAAGACCAAGTTTCGGACCAAAAGACTTATGCTTCGATTTAGCCGATGTGTAATAAGTTATGTTCAGTAACATGACTTGGGACACGTGGAAGAAGGATAGTCATTGGATGAAATTGATTTAATTCATGATGGATTAAATATGGTCCGTCTGATATTTCTGGTTCTAGAACTTTCCCTCATGTGACTAACATGTGAGGGAATATAGTTAGTTAGCTAGTAGAAGAATAAATTTGTTAGTTTTAGATAAATTAGAGTAGGACAAGTGTAGCTTTCTCTTTCTTGTTCATTCTTTAATTTGCAGATTTTTTGTTGTATATATATATATGTACATTTCAGTGATGAAATACACAAAAAATTTCACAAATCATTCTTCAATATTTCGTACAGTATTTAACAATAATAAAAGAGATAAAATGTAGGATGTGAAAAAACTAGTTTTATGCACACTATGGTAGATGTTGTCACAAGAGTAGATTTCTGTCCCTAACCATGCGTAAATAGCATAGTGATATCCTATTCTCAAACAACGAAGGATGCGCTAATGGATTTTTTAATGTGCACTCGTAAAGTTTCAAACAATTTTTAAAACTCTCAACTATTTTTTTGGAATTTAGAGCGACTAGAACAAAGACTTTGGGCGAGAGTGAAATGATAAAGACTAAAACAGTAAATTCATGAACGTACTAACTAGAAATATACGTAAAAACACAAATGATGCAATAATCAACGATAAACGAAATGATAAATTAAGTTTAGGATGTGAAAAATTAGTTCGACACACACTATGGTAGATGTTGCCAAAAGCAGACGCGGAGGCAAAATTTTAACTTGAATTTTAGAACGATGATTTCTAGCAAGTCAACCATGTCACTTAAGGTCAAATTCTGCAATTCTGTACTCAAAAGCTTGATATTGTTCAAACTTCTACATAAATGAAGAAACAAGGATTTTAGATACGGGAATGCCGAGGAAATATCTTCAAGAAATCCGATAGGAGTATAGTCACATGCGGATGATGAACTAGACAAGTGAAACTCTTGCAGATTTCGAGCTTTTATTTCTATTCACCCAACATCACTGCCATTCACATGAACCTTTTTAGCTGATTCAAATTGTCACGACCCGGAATCTCAACCTCGGGATCATGATAGCGCCTAACATCTACTTGCTAGGTAAGCCGATGTGAAACAAAAAATTAACTAATTTTAACAATTTATAACAAGATATTAACAATGAAAACTATATAAGTTTGAAGTATAGCAAATTAATACTAAACGACAAAGTCCAAACATAGCCCAGAAGCTGGTGTCACGAGTACATGAACATCTAGAGTGCTACAAATATGGTCTAAATAAAATACACTGTTTTGAAACTCAGAAAATAGTAAAGATAGGAGGGGGACTTCAGGACTGCGAGCGCTGTGCAACTATACCTCATATCTCCGTCAGTGGCTGGATCCGAGCAAAAGCTATTAACCGCTGCTAGGATCAACATCGGTATCTGCACAAGGAGCGCAGAGTGTAGTATGAGTACAACCGACCCCATGTACTCTGTAAGTGCCGAGCCTAACCTCGACGAAGTAGTGACGAGGCTAAAGTGGGCCACTTACAATAATCTGTACACAGTAATAATTATAATAATAATAGGAAAGGAAAGCAAAAAAATGAAAGTAAAGCAATTAATTTGTGAAATGAACTCGAATCTCACTATCAGAAAACGCAGAATAACAAGTCTCGTAATCTTATGTATGAATCCTGAAACCAACAAAACAACAATAATAAATACACGCACACAATCAGTTGCGGCACTCAACCTGATCCCACCACATTATTGTTTATCAATATCAATTACCATGAATATAATCCTTTGAAGCGCAACTTGATCCCACCATATCATCATTAATCAACATCAAGTATCTGTAAATAATCCGTTGTGGTACGCAATCCGATCCCGCTATATCAACATTTATCAATATCAAGTGTCCTCCCTTATTCCACCGTTTCAATTCATCATCTTTCAATTTTATTGTTGCGTGCAACCCAATCCCCAATCAATTTCAAATAACATAAATAATCCAATAACTCAATCATCAAGGAGTATGAGTACAAGGTAATAAAAGACCACGTAATAATTAAAGGATGCGGAAAATATTACAAAAACAATAGGACAAGTAGAGCATATGACAAGTAAAGTGTGCAAGTAAAACAACTAAGGCATGTAGCAATAAGCATGGAGTCGTAGAAGGGACGAACAATTCAATACATGAATAATTAAATGACAAATAACAATTACGGCATAGAAGTTAAATAAAGCATATAAAAATTATGGAATGGAGTACGATAACTCACGAAATAACAAGAAAACATGGAAACAAATATCTTGACGGCGTATATATACTCGTCACCTCGCATATACGCCGTTTTCTCACATAATCCACACAATACTTAGTTCACAAATTTCTAATTCCCTCAAGTCTAGATTAGATCCAACACTTATCTTGCTCCGCAATCAAACCAAAGCTCAATCAGGGTCTTTCCTCTAAAATTCTCCTCCAAACCAATCGAATCTAACCATATATAGTTCAACAATAAATAAGCTTTAGAAACTACCCACGAGTGAAAAAGATTCAATATTTAATGATTTTGGAAAAAGCCAACGAAAGTCAATCCGGGCCCGGTTGGTCAAAACTCGAGATTCGGACCAAAACAAAATTACCCATTCATCATCGAGCCCGATTATGTGATTAGTTTCGAAATCTGATCTCAAGTCGAGGTCTAAATCTCCAATTCTCAAAATCCCCAATTTCTACCTATATCCCTAATTCCTACCACGAAAAAGCATAGATTAAATGTTAAAAATCAATGGTGTTTATGGAATGGAATAAAACAATTTAAAATCTACTAACCTATGAAGTTGGGATGGAATCTCTCTTCGAAAGCGCCTCTAGCCGATCTCAAACTTGGAAGTGGTGAAAACAGGGTTAAATCCCGACTTTGGGATTTTTAAGCTACTAGGTGTCATGCCTATTTCGCGTTCGCGAAGGGTCTAACGCGTTCACAAAGAGTAGCAGCCAGAAAGCCCTTTGCGTTCCATTTCCATAATTTTCGCCATGGCCCGCCCCACCGGGCCTTCGTGTTTACGAGCCTGGGCTCGCGTTCGTGTAGAGTAACAGACTAACTCCCCCGGTCCTCTCCCTAATACTACGCGTTCACGAAAGGATGGTCTCATTCGTGAAGGTTAAACCCCCCACTACTACGCGTTGCGATGAGTAATTTCCTCCCTAGCCCAGTTTTCCCTTCGTGATCGCGAGAGCGTATTCACGATCGTGAAGCACAAAACGATAGACACTAGATATCAACACAACACGAGATCCTCTAAGTCTAAAAATGACCCGTAGCCTATCCAAAACTCCCCCGAGCCACTCGGGCTCAAAACCAAACATGCACACAAGTGTAATAACATCATATGAACTCACTCGTGTGGTTGAAACACCAAAATAACACCTAAAACTATGAATCATACATCAAAATGTATGAAATTTTCAAAAAAACTTAAAAACTTTCAAATTTACAACTAAGCATCCGAATCATGTCAAATCAACTCCGTTTTGAACCATATTTTGCAAACAAGTCAATATTAGTAAAATTAACCTATACCAAGTCTCGGAACCGAAATCCGAACCCGTTAGCTATAAAGTCAACCTACGATCAAACTTCAGAATTCTTTAAACCTTCAAATTACTAGTTTTCAACAAATCACGTTAAATCAAGTTAGGGACTTCCGAATTCAATTCCGGGAATACGCCAAGTCCAAATCATGATACATACCCACCAGAAGCGTCAAAATATTGATCTGGATCCGTTTACACAAAATGTTGACCGTAGTCAACTCAAATCATTTTTAAGGAAAAAATTCACATTTTCTTTAATTTTTCACATAAATTCCGGAACAAGACACAGACTATGCACTCAAATCGAGGAACTCTAAATGGAGCTAATCAAGGTCTCGAAATACATAAATAAAGGCTAAAACTCAAAATGACCTATAGGGTCATCACACAAATCAGGCTAGTGGTGGCAAAATAGATTAAAAAAATAATAGTTATCAATTCACATTATCCACTAAAACATAGGTTGGATAATTAAATTTTTAAAAATGGTTCAAGTATCAATAAGATCCATATCATCCACTTAAAAATAGATACTTAATGGATAACCGATGCATTTGATTTTTATATTTGCAAAGACTCAAATTGGGGGTTCTTCAAATTTGAGAGACTAGAAATTCTCCTAGAAGTGATCACATTCAAGAAGACATGGATAAAATAGGTATCCATATTATTTGCCGATTAACCTATTTTCTATCTGTATAAAATATTGGCGGATAAAATATTTTATCTATTTTTGCATTAACCATTTTTGACCTGCCCATATCTGATCAGATCCATCCGTTTTCCACCTCTACATCAGGTACTAAGATGTAATAATTGTTGTAATAACAACTGAAGGGTACTTGTCGATAAACTTGGAGAAAGCAGTGGAAAAAGTGCAGAAAGTTTTGGGAGATATATAAAGGTCATCAAAATATATCTCTTTCAATAGAGGCAACTCCTTAATTTCACGGTTTTCTTTCTCCTTAATTTTGCAATCTTTTAAATGCAGAATAGTTAATAATCTCGACTCAAAATGGTCGGGAAAATTCTAAAAAAAGTCTAACTAGGGCAACTTAAGAAAAAATGAAATTATGTGAAAGTAGTTTTGTTGTCGGCAATAGAAATTTTTATCACACGGATGGTGCTGTGGAGGCTATTATTCGGATTCAGAGTATTGTTTACTTGGACTCAAAAGACAAAAATAGGTGAAAAAACCAACTAATGACCAATTTATATATAATGCATGGGTTGAATGCGCTATACCTTAACGGCACGTTTGTTTGTTAAGGTATAGCGCATGAAACCCATGCGCTATATTTGAATTTGACTGACCCACAATAATTGGTGGGTATAGTGCATGTATTTGTTTTGCTACATATATA